TTTTTTAGTTTGCAGGGCTATTGAACTTTTTTAAAACAATGGACTTGGACTCGAACAGCTACTACACACTTCAATGCTCAGTGGTTTTGAGGGGTACTAATGGAAATTCAGTTCTGACAGTTTGCAGTTACTCTTGGTCCTTGGGGCCTTGGGCTTGGATAAAGAAGAAGGGTACACTCAGGGGATGCGCGTGCAGGGACGCGCAGTGTGATTGCGAGAATACAGCATCCTTGCACGTGAAATTGATTCGAAGGTTTAGTCAAAGGGGAACATTTGACCGGAAAAATGTTTAAAAATTGGTGGTATATGTGTATATTTAAATTATTTATTAACATAAAATATACGGTATATTAATGTGTGTGTATTTTGTAATTGGAGTAGGTCAATTGAAGGAATAAAAAGAATGCTTTATGGTGACGTTAGTTTGGTGATTGTGAAGAAAAAATGGTGGTTGAAGCTTATGTGAGGATTTAGGAAATCCAACCAAACATAAGAAATATATTGGCTTTTTTTATTAGCTTCAAGAAGTGTATTTTTTGAAGAGAATATTACAAAAAGTAATATAATATCTATATATTTCTGCTATTCACCAATAATTAACCAATTGATACAATCCTTTCTATAGTGCCAATTTGTTTACGTTTATCTAAGCATTAACAGATTTTTGGGTTTAGAGATGGACCGCATATTTGTTGTTGATAATTTGAGATGAATGAAAATTAAATGTGACAAAAAATGAATGAAATTGCATTATTGCTCTATCTTGTCTCCCATTTTCTCGACGAAATCTTCCCTTCTGAAATTTGTCCTTTCAAATCACTCTCTCTCTTGACTCATCTCAAAATATTCTGTTTTAATGTATAGCTTACATAAAACCAAAGATGGTTTCTTCATTCTTGTAATTATCATCACAATCCATAACCAAATTTTGAGTTTTTGTTGCTCAAACATAAACAATGTATTGTTGCATTATCATGAACAATATTGCACCTCATTTGCCATTGTTTTTACCAAAGATTAAAGGGTGATTTTACTTATTCCTTCATTTATTTTATATTTTTATTCAATAATTCCAAATCACATGTATACTCACTTTATAATTCAAGATCACTTTCCCGCCTCTACCAAAGATTTGAATATCATGCGATTCGAAAAAATATACCACCAAACGACCCCATTGTAGTTCTTGGGCTCAGCTGCACCACCGTCCTTAGCCGTGATCACTAGGTCATACACAATCATTCCTCGAACCAGCCGCTTATCGGCCTTCGACAGGCTTACAAATGTTAAGGGCTTCAATTGCTTGTTTTTAGCAGCTATTTTATTGTGCTCCCAAATAGCAAAATATGTTGCCATCATAATATCTGGGTCTTTTAGGTCCACTGCTGTTTTGATTTGCTGGGATTTTTCAAATGGATGGTCATTTTTTCCTCTAATTGGGACCAAAATTACCAAAATCATTAGGGAAATGTGTAAAAGAGAGCCAGATAGTAAGGTTGCCATATATATATATTTTTTTTTGGTATATTGTATGGTGATTACTGATTGGCTGGTTGAATGTTCTGTTGTATTTATAATGTCACGAGATTAAATTGGTAGTTATCTGGTTAAGAGAACTTAATTAGAGATAACTGAAAATTTTAATTTGGTTGTCATCCCCTGAATTGAAGAGATGGAAAGAAAAAAAAATTAAATTAGCATATATCTACCAAGTAAAGATCAGACAAATGTTATCCATGGATTGTAATTTGTAAGCTTTTTACATGGGACTTTATAGAAAAAAGGAGTAAAGTTATGAAACTGAAATTTTGCAAGTTAACCATTCGTGATCAAATCACCACACAATTTGATTGGATGACTTAAATTAGTATGGATGACTTAATCTCATTCAAATCATATTGAATCATATGGGTACCACTTCATATAGTAATGTAACAAAATCCAATTGATCTTACAAGAAAATGCAGAACAAATAATGATTTTGAATTTTTGTATCATTACATAGCAACTTCTTAANTTTTTCAAAACGATAAAAATTTTATATAAAAAATGCATAAATGTGCAAAAGTCTAGCCACCAGCTGAATACATACAACCAACAGCTGGATACACACAACCAACAGCTGAATACAAACAGCTAACAACTGAATAAATTGAGAGGACTGATCGAGAGACCGCCTAGAATCGACCCCAACAAGGTAATACTCACAATTCACAAACACACAAATCTAACTACATTTTAAACTTTCGTAGGTAAGATAGTTTTTGTATCAAGACAAGTCAAACCATGCATATTGACTTCGAACAAGTAGTGCATGTTTAGAAGAATGATTCTGAGTGTTGGGTTCTTTAATAGAGCCTTCGACCGAACACAAGCGTAATAGGTTTCGGGATTAAAGGAATCATTGTCCTTTGCCGACATTATCAGTTGATACACGGTTAGCCCGCGTTGAACCTGTTTGTGTGCCTTGATCACGGTTAAGAAGTTCAATTTTTGGCGAGCTATCCTATTATACTTATCTTCTTGTAAATTGTTTGGTGACTGTTCTGTTTTTCATTTATATGAGGGAGGAGAACACTATGTGGTAGTTATCTGGTGTGAATAAATTTTGGTCTTGGTGGTTAATGAATACCATCAAATTATAATAATCTGTGTAACAAGTAACTCTTGAGCAAATAATGCCATTTTAAACAAAAAAAAATAAAAAATGATGTGAATGTATTAATTATAGTTGTTGATTTTAAGGGTGACTTAAGTCCTCAATTATCCAGAAGCCTTAAACCCTCCAAACTCCTCCTTTCTTCCTTCGAAACAAAAAAACGATGTCTTTTGCTGTGAAAATCTTAGCAAACCCTACGCCAGCTCAAGCCCCCTCCGTCTTTGCCATTTACAGAGCTTCGTATTCAAGCCCATGTCTCTCAATTCCTTTCAAACCCATCAGATTCAACCTCTCTTGCTCCCACCCGAGCTTTCTCTGCCTGAAGAAGAAAGAGCCCCTTGTGAGGGTTTCTGTTGTGGCCGCCGAGAATGAAGAGAACGACCCAGTAGCTCTCGAGGAGCACGAAGAGGGTTTTGATGGTAAACTCAACTGGGATTCCTCGGAAAGTGAGGCCGAGGGAGGGGAGAGTGTTGGGTATGCTAAGCCGAATGAAGTCGGGGGATTGTATGTGGGGTGGCTGCCGTACACTGTGACTAGTGAGAATTTGGCTCAGATGTTTGAGGAGGCCGGTGTTGTAGAGACGGCTGAGGTAAAAGATTGGATTTTTATTGCTTAATTGATTTGTTTTGGTTTGGGGGATTTGGTTTTTAAGCATGATGGTTGTGGTTTTCATGAAAGACCAATCTTGTAGGGTCGTTGTTTTGTGTGTTTGTTGGTTTTTAGTATATTGAACTATGAGTGTGTGATGGTTGGATGATTGCTGATGTTTCTTGACAAGGTACTATTTCAGGCCTTTTATTATTACTGGTTTATTTTTTTTATTTTTTATTTTTTGTTTGGGATTTTGATTTTATGGGTGTTACTGTTGGAACTTGAGATAACTGAGTTAATAAAAGTATAACTGAGTTAATAAAAGTTTTTCTTTTCTGATAAGCTAATGTTTTTATTGCAAGCTTTATNCTACTCTTGGGTTTGGAATCTGATGTTCTGTATGATGATTGGATCTATGAGGTTTTATTGATAATAGGTAAACAAACTTGTTTAGATGTTTCATTTTTTGTGTATTTTGTATGCTTTGGCAGGTTATTTACTACAAGGATACTGGCCAGAGTAGAGGCTTTGGATTTTTGACGATGAGTACCCTGGAAGAAGCTGTGAGGGCTGTGGAAATGTTCGATGGCAAAGTAAGTTCCATTGTTATTAATAAGTTAAATCAAATTGAATTGCTCCCTTTTGATCATCTTTCTAGCGTCATATTTAGGTAATTTGTGGTTACCTGTAATCTATTCCACTAATGAATGATACCTTTTGGTAGTAGTCTTCGGCTAATGGCATGAGAAGTAAAGTGTAACGATTTTTTTTGAGATTTTCCACTTATTGTCTCGATTTCAGTAGACATTAGTTATGTTATACAGAAAACATACATTACAGTTTATTCATCAATAACCTCAAAGATTTATCTTTCTTTTTGAGAGATCTCACACTTTATCATCATCATCATCCATCATTCACATTATTTTGCATTCTCTGCTCATCACAGGTTATAGGCGGGAGGTCATTGAGGGTCAATAGAGCCCAACCGTTAGGGTCAAACTCAAAGCCTGAATGACAACCTCGTATGGTCAAGTCCGGTTCAAATGGATGGTCACTTTTTTCTCTAATTGGGACCAAAATTACCAATATTATTAGGAAAATATGTAAAAGAGAGCCAGATAGTTAAGATTGCCATATTTTTTTTAAAAAAAAATTATTTTAATTTTGTTTTTTGGTAGATTGTATGGTGATTACTTATTGGCTGGTTGAATGTTATGCTGTATTTATAATGTCAAGAGATTAAATTGGTAGTTATCTGGTTAAGAGAACTTAAATAGAGATAACTGAAAATTTTAATTTGGTTGTCATCCCCTGAATTGAAGAGATGGAAAGAAAAAAAATTAAATTAGCATATATCTAACAAGTAAAGTTCAGACAAATGTTATCCATGGATTGTAACTTGTAAGCTTTTTACATGGGTCTTTATAGAAAAAAGGACTAAAATTATAAAACTGAAATTTTGCAAGCTAACCATTTGTGATCAAATCATCACACAATTTGATTGGTTGACTTAAATTAGCATGGATGACTTAATCTCATTCAAATCATATTGAATCATATGGGTACCATTTCATATAGTAATGTAACAAAATCTAATTGATCTTACAAGAAAATGCAGAACAAATAATGGTTTTGAATTTTGTGTCATTATATAGCAACTTCTTCATTTTATTACATCATAAATCTTTCATGGCTAGGTAAGTTTTTGTATCAAGACCAGCCAAACCATCATATCGACTTTTAACAAGTAGCGCATTTTTAGAAAAATGATTCGAGTGTTGGGTTCTTTGATAGAACCTTCCATTGGACACAAGCGTAATAGGTTTCGGGATTAAACGAGTCATTGTCCTTTGCCGACATTATCAGTTGATACACGGCAAGCCCGCGGTGAACCTCTTTGTGCGCCTTGATCACGGTTAAGAAGCTCAATTTTTGGCGAGCTATCCTATTATACTTTGTAACTGCAAATTTGGCCACCATCAACACATTGGGGTCATTTGGGTTCGTAAGGTTTTTCATATCACGGTTATACCCTTCTGTTAGGACCAAAGTAGTGAGCAAAATCAAGAAAAGCATCGATAAAAACTAAGTTTAAGATATGATGAGAAGTTATATTATTTTTCTATAAGATTTATGAGTTTTGGGCACAAAACTAAGTGTAATGCACAAATTGTGGCTATTTATGCTAGGATAATATATGTGGCTTCTTTTTAGCCCCTTTTATATGTTTATTTGAATTTTGAATAATTTTTTTTTTTTTTAAATACGACATTCAAAATAATACCATCTATAAATGAGTTATAAACCATAAATCAATGTTTTTGTAGCCAACGAAAAACTTCATAAGTATGAAATAAACATGAATTTATAGGTGAACGACATATTTTTTTTTTTTATTCACATACACAAGTATGAGGTGAAAATTTTGATTTTTGTTTTAGGCATTTTTATGTGTTTACTAATTTTTGTAGAAATAGTGAAATACATCTTTAGAAATAAAATCATACATAAATCATTTATAAACGAATTATAAAATAAAAAATAATACAATTTATGATCCAATTAAAATTATAAACCACAAATTAACCATCTATAGATAAAAAAATAGTATTTTTATAATTAAAGATTGAATTTATAGGTGAACCTCTAATTTTTTATTTGTTATTGTTGAAAAATAAAGCGAACAAATTAGGAACATTGGGCCTATTCCAAACCAGGCCCGAGAGCGATAATAAAAGCCCAAACCCATTGAGAAGTCAGTATAGAATTTCGGACCCATCGATCGATGGATCTATAGAGAGAGAATCTGATTGATCCGTTTTAGCTTGTCTGGTTCACTCATCGGCTCCACCAAAGGCCACCGCCGTCCGCCGTACGCCGTCGCCGTCATTAAACGCTTACCTCCACCGCCGTGCCGTCCAGCTACCGATTCGCTGATCTTCTTCTTCTTCTCTCTGCTAAACGCATGGAGGTACACCTACTCGTACAATTTAGAAGGAAAATAGGCGTTTATTATGGATTTTTTTTTATAATTATCATCGTCATTATTGTTTCTTCTGTTTGTGTTAAATTTATGTAATTTTGGATTTGGTAGCTGCATTAGTTCGATCGCCAGTCACTTACCTTTCCATTTGGTTGATGCTTAATTTATGTTTTTCACAAAACATAGTGCAAAATGCGTATATGTTGTCGATGGAGAGATTTTTTTGGGTAGTCATCTGCCTCCTTACCGGAGATTTACTTTATACATCCAATTGGGACACAAAATCAGTTTTTTGGTGGGATTCTCGGGTTGCTTTTTGATACAGAACCATATTAGGATACAACACTCAGTTTGATTTCTGAAAAGAAGAAGAAAAATAGGTAAGAGTAAGATATCAGATAGATAGATAGACAGAAAGTAGACAGCTCAATTCGTCAATCATCATATCTCAAATGCTACAATGGCTTACATATTTATAGTCTAGAAATCTTCACCTTCACTTAACTAATTAGTTAATACTAGTTTTTAAGTATCAGTAAATATATAATGGTAATGTATAAGGAATATAATTTGCTGGAGTGGCTTTTGTAGTTCCTCATCTTTAGTTCGAATATAATTTGTTCATGAACAAAATGTTCCGTACTATCTTATGGAGTTCCCTTCACTTCATCGTGAACTTTTACGACATATTATCTTGATCATTTTTCTATTTTTCCTCATCAGCAATTCTGGAGTGGGAGTGGTATCAGAACGAACAAAGAAATGGTGGAGCAGTTGCTGGGCCATGGAGTGATAAATTCGGAGAAAGTGGCAGAGGTAATGAGAACAATCGACAGGGGTTTGTTCATGCCAGATGGCGCGCCTCCATACGCCGACAGCCCTATGCTCATTGGCTACAATGCCACAATATCTGCACCTCACATGCACGCAACTTGCCTTGAATTGCTCGAGAACCATTTGAAACCTGGCATGTGTGCCCTGGATGTTGGTTCTGGTAATATTTGTTGCTTATTTTATAAAATGTCAATGAGGACCCAAAAGTAGTGAGAAGTGTAATAATCTCGTTAAGAATTGCTTTGTCTTTAGCATTTACTTCAGGTTTAACTGCAGAATATGTCAGTCACTTCAGGTTCAGCCTAATTTACTTTCAATTACATCCACAATCTCAAGAGTGTGTGTTAAATTTATCTCTGATAAGGTGAAACCCGAAAATTAGTTTTTATCATCTCATTATTTATGATCACACACACACACATATATATATGTATATATTGTTGTAAAGTATGGTTAGCATGATTAGCCCGAAAATGATGCTATGAAATACAATTTAGCTTTAATTTTGAGATTTTGTTAAATTTTTCTTGTAGGAACAGGATATTTGACTGCTTGCTTTGCTATTATGGTCGGACCACAGGGATGCGTGGTTGGCGTAGAGCATATTCCTGAGTTGGCTGAATCATCGGTTAAGAATATCGAAAAGAGCGAAGCAGCCACATTGTTGAGAGAAGGGCTGCTCTCAATCCATGCTGTTGGTATGTTATTTCTCATTCTCTTGGTCTTGTATTTTCAATCCAGTTGATATTAGTTTCTGCATGGATTTTGAGTTTGATGTTATTTCTCATCCAGAGAAAATGCTTTCTGGTTTTAAAGTGTTGGTTAAAACACTTAAACACATGCTGATTTCATAAGATGCTTTAATTTGATGTAATATTTCAGATGGCCGGCAAGGGTGGCCGGAGGCCTCGCCTTACGATGCCATTCATGTTGGAGCAGCTTCTCCGGAGATTCCTCCGACGCTCATTGACCAATTGAAGCCGGGCGGCAGATTAGTGATTCCGGTTGGGAAAAGCTCTCAGGACTTGAAAGTGGTGGACAAAAATGCCGATGGCACAATTAGCGTAAGGACCGAATTTTCTGTTCGTTATGTCCCTCTCACGAGCCGCGAAGCTCAGTTGCGAGGGCAGTGATGGACTTAACAAGTTGGTGCATTTATATTGGTGATTGGATATATGGGAATGAACATAAAATTTGAATCTCTATATTTCTCATTCCATTTGTAGTGTAAATGTTTGGTTCAAACTTCAAAGGGTAGCCAATGGTGCAACTTCCCAGGGGTATGAGATACATTAATCTAATTTGAAATAGTGAAATATTATTCAGAATTGCAGTTTTTCACTTTGAGGTTAAAATGTCACACAAATCAGAATATCACCCACCAAAAGTTCTTATATCATCATCATTTCATTTTTAAAAGTTTACATAAATTTTGATATCTTAGGTATAGTTTATATTATAGAATCACTTTTCTATCCTTCACTGTGACACCTTTGAATTAGTACTGACTTCTTATACCAACATACAAGGCCAAAGCATTCCTGTCATCAATCAGTCAATAACAATTCAACATCTCTTAAGCTTTCAGTCAAATCCAAGTCAAATTTGAAGCATAATCACTATGCATCATAAATTTCAACATGAAAAAAGAATACAATCAAGGTAAATCCAAACGGTTTTGTGACAACAAAATCTCTTAACTAGTTCATTGATATGGATGGTTCCTTACAAAAATCCAATAAATTTCTCCACAAGAAAAGACATATCACAAATTGCAGTGCTCGTATTTTTCATCCCAGATCAAAAACTGCGCCTCGCGCTATCAGCAACGTTTACCCTGATTGATCTCCCATCCAAGGTCTGCAGCATTATGAAATTAAAGAAAGTTATAGTTCGACAATATAAAGTTCATGACATAGAAATGACGTAAGGCATGATGCAAAAAGGATGCACAAATAAAATCATATCAAATCGATTCTGTCTCTT